GCAGTGCTCTGCCTGGCCAGAGAGGGGGTTGTTCAGGGGGCATATTTTCAGGTGGGATTATATTTTTGCCCACACAAAAAATGTGGCAAGGCCTTATTTTCAGGACAGTTTGTATTTTCGGAGAAACACTGTATATTTAAGGAAACACCTTTGTTTTGCTTTTATTTCACTTACAGTACTGTTAACCAATTGCTTGATCACTCAATTTCTTATTACAAATTGTATGGAGTTTTAAATCATGAATCACAACCCACAGATGCTGGAGATAGTACTACAATATTTTAAAAGTACCTGAATTTTTAAGGTATCATATGCTTTCCAGAGTAACAAATTTTCAAAATTCAGCAGCTTTTGCATGTCATATCCCAGATGTATTGCAAAACCTCGTATCAGTGCCTGAAAGATGAACTACAATATTCAGTCATCTGTACATACAACCATATACTCAAGGGACAAGTCATCTTTGAACCTTGGCTGATATTTATTTTGCCTTTTAAAAAAAAACCCAAATCTGACATTGTACACAAGATCCTATGAAGGGACTCTTGGAATCTGGGAGATAGAGTTAACCAAATTATGACAAATGGAGAATAGATGGACATTTCATCCTAGTTTCTTACACAATACCTCAGGCCAAAAAGGGAAGAAGGAATGACCTAGAACAGGGATTCACATCATCATAGTAGCACCACAAGAGGTATAAGGACTTTCTCCCCCTTTGCTAAACTGGCCATGGCCAGCACATGATGCATCCAGCCCGTGGGCTGGGAGTTTGACTGCCCTGGCCTAGAAATACAGAAGAAAGAACTACAAGACAATAGTCAGTTAAAAGAGAGCTGAGTTCAGGGAAAAAATGTAATCTGAAAAAACATCTCAGAAACAAATCCTTCCTAGTTTTCATAAAGACAAAGGGACGAAGGGAGAAATGCATTCAAACTTGTAAGATTCTATTAAATGTATATTTCCAATAAAAGTATCGTTGCCCTACATGACTTTGCTTTCCTAGGCTAACTGATTTTGAAGAGCTGAAGATTTATAATCTGTGAGAAAAAATGTTTACAAAGATCTCACCTGAAAGTATTCCTTGTTAATTGAAGACTGCAGGTTTCTTATATAAATTTCTAATATTTTGTAATTTATTATCAGAGGTGGGTTTCTGCTGGCTCGTCAAAGGGAAAAAAATTGTGATATGTCACTTGACTGCCATGAGGCCATGAGTTTGACACCTCTGGCTTAAACCATGCCCTGTCACTATCATGCCAAAATGGGCCAGCAATAGTTTTCTGATCACAGAAACAATAAGATCATCTGTTTATAGTAATCAACTACTGATTGTAAAAAAAAACCAACTCCAGGCACCTTAAGTACATCATTTTCTTTTTCATAAAGTATTAATAGAAGAAAATATCTGTAGTTTGGTTTTGAACTGAAGTCCATATGCTCTATGATGTTGGTTGTTTCCTTATAGATGTTGCAATATTCAACTAGCTAACATGATCAGTGCTAGTGAATATGGGTTTTGTTCCCTCTTTATAGCAGTAGCTTGCCTTACCTTGATGAAAATGCCTGAGCCTTCTCCTAAAGCACTTTCTTTCACCCTGCCTCATAGTAGAGGGTGCTTTTTAGAGGCTTTTTTAAACAGGCAGTCATTCACGATGTGGCAGCAGCTAGCTAATCTAACCTCAGCACTCACCTTTTCCCGTTTACATTTTTTTTCTTTTCATGAAAAACTGCACATCACTGGTACAATTTCATCATTTTTCAGTTCAAAGAACCCTTGTACCTCATTTGAGTGGAGAAAAGATTAAACAATACATGCTCAGTCTTTTCTTTTTGTAAAAAGAAAAAGTAATTACTGTATTTTTTGGAGTAGAAGATGCACATTTCCCCCCAAAAAGAGGGTGAAAATCTGGGCGCATCTTACAGTCTGAAGATAGGCCCACCCACCCGCTGGCCCCCACCTGCAAGCGGCCTGGGGAAGCATGGAGGTCGGGAATCAGTCGGTGAAGTGGATGCTAGGTAAGCTAGCAGCTCTGCCTGCCCATTCTCCAGATGACTCAGGTGGAGGGCAGTCGGTTTCTCCTGGCCCAGGAGGAAAGAGGTAAGTCTGCGTAGAAGGAGGAGGAGGGTGCACGGCTCTGTGATGTGCAATGAGGAAGCTATCCTGAGAGCTACTTTGAGCATAAAATGAATCTAATGGAAATATGTTAATTATCCTTGCTTGAACTGCTGAATCCTCCTTTGACTCTGTCTCCCCTTCATGGAAACTTTACCACCCTATTACAAGTAAATGAAACAACAATAATAGATTTATCTAGATAAAAATCAACAGAAAGTCTTATCTTTAGGCAGGAAATGTTTTAGCCATTTCCCCAACTTTCAAAATAGTTCTTTTCCCACACAATTTATATTAGTTTATTACATTTGCCAGGTGTGACATTAGTCTTGATTTAAGGTGTACAAGATCATATTTGTGTTTCAGTGGTGGGTTTCAAAATTTTTTAAACCTCTTCTATAGGTATGGCCTGCTTTGTGGGAGTGGCTTGTGGGCCATGTGACCGGGTGGGAGTGATTTGCCACCATGTGACTGGGTGGAAGTGGCTTGGCAGTCATGTGACTGGGTGG